TTTAGGGTTATATAAAACGGTTTATTGATTATAATCAACAAACAAAGAATATAATAGAGTGTTTTTGATTATTTTCATCAACAACCATCCTATCCAGGTAGCAGCCGTATGAGTAATATAATGTATTTTCACCTGTGTGATGTCATCGAGGAGGAGGCGGGTCTCTAGGGACCAGCTGCTTCACTGTGAAACACGTCACACCCCGGAGGTACACAAAGTACTCACACACTGTACTGCTAGTACACAACGTACTCACACACTGTACTGCTAGTACACAACGTACTCACACACTGTACTGCTAGTACACAACGTACTCACACACTGTACTGCTAGTACACAAAGTACTCACACACTGTACTGCGAGTACACAAAGTACTCACACACTGTACTGCTAGTACACAACGTACTCACACACTGTACTGCTAGTACACAAAGTACTCACACACTGTACTGCTAGTACACAAAGTACTCACACACTGTACTGCTAGTACACAAAGTACTCACACTCTGTACTGCTAGTACACAAAGTACTCACACACTGTACTGCTAGTACACAAAGTACTCACACTCTGTACTGCTAGTACACAAAGTGTGCATTTTGAATACTGGGCCTTCATCACATCACATGTCATTTATCTGACGCAATAAGAACATTTCCAGAACATAAGGACACAAACTCAGAAGAACAAGAAACAAGAGTGTGATTTCCTTAAATAAGCCGCTGTACAACCTTCTGTAGATAAGAACCATTATGAGTCCAGTGTAAGTGCTGCAGTATGTTAGTGTGTTAGTGGAGGGAGAGTCTGAAGAGGTCCAGACGACCTGAGATTGGACTGAGGTCCTGATACTGAGGATGTTTCTCCTTAAACTAAGCTGGTCTGGTAAACTTGTCTGTTTGACGTTAGCCAGACTCTTTGGGTCATTTCTTGGAAGAACTGGACATTCTCCTGTCCAACCTGAAAATGTCCCCCAGCTCGTCCTCCTGGGTGACTCAGACATCCAGACAGACGTCATCTGACCTCTAACGCCTACTTTCTTCCTTCGCTCTGTCACTCCGTCCCTCTCCTCCTCCTCACAAAGCCGCCAATCACCTCGACTACATCTTCACCAGAAACATCTCCAACATCTCTGTGACTCCATGTGTCCGACCACTTCTTCATCTCTCACTCTGTAACTGACAGTGTACCTGTTCTCTCCTCCTCTGGTCTATCAGCTCTCCTCCTCTCTCCTCCTCTGGTCTATCAGCTCTCCTCCTCTCTCCTCCTCTGGTCTATCAGCTCTCCTCCTCTGGTCTATCAGCTCTCCTCCGCTCTCCTCCTCTGGTCTATCAGCTCTCCTCCTCTCTCCTCCTCGGGTCTATCAGCTCTCCTCCTCTCTCCTCCTCTGGTCTATCAGCTCTCCTCCTCTCTCCTCCTCTCTCCTCCTCTGGTCTATCAGCTCTCCTCTTCTGGTCTATCAGCTCTCCTCCTCTCTCCTCCTCTCTCCTCCTCTCTCCTCCTCTGGTCTATCAGCTCTCCTCCTCTCTCCTCCTCGGGTCTATCAGCTCTCCTCCTCTGGTCTATCAGCTCTCCTCCTCTCTCCTCCTCTGGTCTATCAGCTCTCCTCCTCTCTCCTCCGCTCTCCTCCTCTGGTCTATCAGCTCTCCTCCTCACTCATCTGTTGAACTGCAGTCCCTTAACTGTCCACTAGAGGCTGATAGGATCCTCGTGGAGTTCATCATCTGTTTAGTCTCTTTGGATCCGTGTTTTTCAACCTGTTTTGGGTCAAAACACCCTGAAGACACAGAACAGATCTCACGGCAAACCAACAACCGGAAATGATATGAAACTCAATCCCAAACATGGTTCCAGCATGAGCATAATATACTAGAAATGAGGTTTATTAAACTTAACATCATCCTAATGCCAAGATGGCGCCGGCTTTATGCCCAGTATCTCTTAAGCCTGACTTATGCTTCTGCGTTTTCACAGCGACGCAGACGCAAGACCGCGTGTCCCTTCACACCTCCTGCGTCCTCGCGTGTGTCGAGACATCAGCGCACACGGCTGTGATCGGTCCGCTAACTGCGTCCTTTACGGAGTCTCACATTCCCGCTTTCACAGCCCGATGCCGACGTCATTAAAACCAAGAATGTTTACGAGAGAACGGAGCAGATGGAAGAACTTTAGTCGGAAGAAATGCGTAAATATGAGCGCTTCTACGAGCCGCCATCGGCGGGTTTAGAAGCGGGTTGGATTCACGGAGGGAGGTCGCCGCAGACGCCGGTTTGCTGGTCGAGAGGAACAAAGTTGTGGAGGAAAATACGGGACAAATGTGTCCGCGATGAAAAGCAGCAGTGTGGATGCACAGGGCAATAAAGTCTATGATCAATAAACAAACAAATAAACAGACGTGACTCTCCAGGTCGTCTTCAACAGAACACGTGACTCCGCCTGTTGTTCTGGAGGTGAATCGCTCTGCAACACACGCAGGACTTTACAACCAGGAGGTGAAACGACGCAGAAACACGCGGCGGCCTGAAGTCTCACTGTTTTAAATTGTCGCCTCAGCAAATCTGCCTGTTAATTAGGCTGCGTAGCGCCACCCACAGGCAGAGGGGAGTATTGAGCCTTCACACCACCAACAGCGCCACGACACAAACACACAAGTTGGCTCTTTTTTTTTTCACCATCGAAGTGACAGTTTGTAAAAAATTCAGGCACACGTGACAGCCTCTCGCGGCACACTGGTTGGAAAACACTGGTATAGATAACATCTGTCTCTATCATCATCAATCACGTTGCACGTGTCGTCTCGCTGATGTCAGCTGTCGGTGGCCGCTGGTGGATTTTTTTCGGTGGGGTCAGATAATCCGTTTCTGTAAAAAGTCTCGTAGACCCATCGAGGTTAACAACAGAAACACATCATTCTCCTTTACAGCCCTTCCTGCTTGTATTCATTTACTGAACCAAAGTACGTCAAGGATCCCAGTGGTCCGAGGACCCTCAGGGAGACTTTGACCAGCCGGGACGTCCGAAAGAGCTTCAGCAGCTGCAGGTTGGATTCAATTCTTCTCTTAAGACTCAAGGGAGCGAGTGTCGGCAGCAAGAGGGACGTGGGACAGCTGGGACCTGGTCTCACTGCCTGCAGATTTCTAATCTGATCCAGGATATCTTCATCTTCATCTTCAAGAAAGACCTCAGGGCTCATCATGAGGGAAGGCTCAGCTTGCTTCTGTCAATATAAAACAGGGAAATGCTTTCAAACGTTAAATATGTCGAAGGTCTTTAAGAGTTAAAAGAAGTTATTGGTGATCTAATATTCAGATTCAACAAACCAAAGAGACAGACGGTTAAATATTGGAATCAGTTTAAATGAGATGTGAACAGTTCATTTATCAGAACAAATAGTTTATTTGATAAAGTTCTGCCCTCAGGTCTAAACATCTGACCCAGAACCAACCATCAGGTTTCATTTACATCCACACTGCAGGTTCTCAGTGGTCTCTGGACTAGACCAGGACGTTACCTCTGATCTGGATCCCGACACAAAGATTCCGGCCTCCTGTGATCTAGATTCAGGCTGAAGGTCTCCTGCACTGGTCCATAGCCTTCACACACCCCAGACCCCCCTCTATGCCCCCCAACAGCCCCCCATATCCACATCACGTCATGTTCCAGTCTGCTTAAAGACCATCGTCCCGTCCCCAAATCGGCAGAACAGACGTGTGACATCGGAGGCAATAAACGGCTTCTGGTTCTGATAAATAGAACAAATAACAGCGACCTCTGATGACCTCTCCTAGAGGGGGAGAGACAGACAGGGGAGAGACAGACAGGGAGAGAGACATACAGACAGGGGAGAGACAGACAGGGGAGAGACATACAGACAGGGGAGAGAGACAGACAGGGAGAGAGACAGACAGACAGGGGAGAGACATACAGACAGGGGACAGAGACAGACAGGGGACAGAGACAGACAGGGGAGAGAGACAGACAGGGGAGAGAGACAGACAGGGAGAGAGACAGACAGACAGGGGAGAGAGACAGACAGGGAGAGAGACAGACAGGGAGAGAGAGTGCGGCCTTCATCAGGACTTCCTGTCGTCTCTGCAGCCGGCTGAGGAGCAGCGACGGAAAAAAAAATTATAATTTTTGTTTATATTAAAAAATACATTTTACAAATAGTCAATATTTGTGTTTTTGGACTCGGGCCGGTCCCAAACCAGCAGGTCTAAGAAGCAGTCCATACCAAAATACATTCCATACCACTGCGAGTCTCGCGCCCATTTAGCGACATGACGATGGCGAGCTGAATCCCTCCAACTACTCCGTCCATCCTCTCCTCAAAGAGCCGCTCGACAGGAGAACTTTGGCACAGAAACTAGGAGTAAAACATCTGGACCAGATCAGACGGACCTCATGATCAGACAAGGGACCGGCTCAAAGGGCTAGCATGTAGCTAGTTAGCTACATGCTAGCCAGCTGCGACGCACACATGACTGCGGTGAGGAAACACAACCAGGACGTGGAGGAAAACAGGCACATTTTATCCAAAATAGTTCATTGTGTGAAGTTTGTGGGGCTTTTGAGTCTTTCCTCAACACACTGACAGTGACATTCATTTATATATACATATATATATATATACACATATATACATATCCTTGAATATATTCAGAATATTGTTGTTATATATATTTCATTGATTGTTGTAATAAATGATAAATATGTAACTGCAAAGTAATAATGTTTGATACCTTTGCATTGAATCTTATTGGGATGTTTACAGAAACGGACCCTACCAAAAAATGAAATCCACCAGCCGCCACCGATCCCAGCTGACATCAGCAAGAGACGGGGGACAACAAAGAGAAGGGGGACAGAGACAGAGATAAACAACCATTCGCTGTCACGTTTTACACCTCTATTGAAGTAGAATGTGTTTTACCAGAGTTCTTCCATCTGATGCTACATCGCCCTTTGGAGGCTGCACAGAGCATCACATCGAAAACTACAACCTCTTATCAAAGCCTTGGTTTTTATTGAGCTTCACAAAAACCCACAGTTGACCTTTGACCTTCACATGAGCCAGGTTAGAGGATCATAGGAAACGTAGTCAAAACAGAATATAAATACAAAACAATAATAAACTCATTGACCTAAAATCGGGCTCAAATATAAACGCAGAGTAAAGAGAACTTTGTACTCTGTATAAAACTACAGTAAAACCGTTGATGTATATATTCCATGTATATCAGGTCTCACAGTTCTGTTCATTTGGTCCCCAATAGTGTTTTTAGTATTCAGGGGTTACGATTGGCTAAGGGACAACCTAAGCTCCTCCTCCCTGAGGCTGCGGTCCAATCGCTGCGTCTCAGACACCAGGACGGATGGGATTGGACGACGTGTGACAGCGTCCAGTGAATCCCTGAGGTCGTGTCTGAGAGAGAGCAGCTGTTGGCTGTTCCTGGACGACCGCTGGATGAACTCCGCCCTCTGCTGCTGGTCGGCAGCCAATAACAGACGTAGCCGGCTGACCTGAGCGGCGGAGACATGGTGACATCATCAGCATCCAACTGACAAAAGCAACTATGTGGCGCCGTCCTCTGTGGTGCTCTCACCTGCTCCTCCAGCTCACCGACTCTTTCCCTCAGGTGCTCTTCTGTGGCGTCTGCAGACTCCTGAACAAACACCACAGCTTTACACACACACTGGTACCTCTTTGTGTGTGTGTGTGTGTGTGTGTGTGTGTGTGTGTGTGTCACCTGAGATCTGGTGCTGTCAGTTAGCTGCTGTCTGAACCTTGAACGCTCCGCCTCCACCTGAAACACACAAACAACACACCTGTCTCACTGTGTGTGTACTGGTCTCAGTGTGTGTGTGTGTGTGTGTGTCTCTCAGCCCGTCTATACCCGTCTCAGTGTGTCCCTCAGTGCCCGTCTGTCTCTCTTCAGCCTGTCTCTCTGATGTTCAAGGTGACAGGTCTTGTGGTGGACTCGTCTCTGATCCAGCTCCAGTTGAGCCAAACGGATGCTGCAGCACCATCAGTCT